ATGAATTAATTAAATCAAAATATTTTTGTCGAGAAAACATTTTAAGTCGCATTTTTGTTCTCTTGGTTACTGGAAATGCATAACATTCTGATTTGTAAACAAGTTAACTTATCGATTGCATGTTTCTTTTGGCATCACCCTGCCACCTGCTCTCCATGCTTTGCTACCTTCCCATGCATTAGATGCAACAGCTGTTCATTCTTCTCCTCCAACGTACATAATAAAAACATTTTTTCATGCAACTTTTTAAACTTAGCATAAAACCATTCGCTTGTCACAATGTAGTCTCCTTTACGATGGGATGACCAAATGTTGATTAGATGAGTGCTTTTCAAAACATACCCTGTTTTGTTTGCAATACAACCCAGAATTTGCAGTCATCTACCACTTTAATTTTCAATCTCATTTGCACTTGAACCTCTTTGTCCTTGGTGTTCTGCACTATTCAAGTGCAACTTACCATAAACTCAAGGAACAGCATATCATAATTCTTTTAGAAGCTGTTCAACTATTTAACAGTCTCCATTGCCAAGCTCTGCTGTATTTCCATGGCAACACCCTGACCAGCGTTTACATGCTTGATCTGTGAACTAAAATTGACAGGGAAGTGCACATCCATGCTGATGATAGCTCAATGAATCTTCTCATGTTGTACAAATTGATAGGCCTTTTTTTCAAGTCTGTTTGTTGCATCCAGTCCTGATGAGTGCAAGGTGAAAAGCTTCAAGTTCTTGTCTCTTTTAAGCAATGTTTAAGTTCTACACTGCCGAGCAATTAATTTGAAGAAAAAATGTCTGCAAATGAACTCTGATATTCAAGACTCAAAAACCTCCTAGTGGCCATATTAGCTAAATCCTATCGAAAGCTTGAGAGGACTGAAATTGACATGTAATTCATCTAATGGGGAAATAATCCAGGACTAAGAGTCACAACAATGTGTGAAAATGCAGTTTAAAATGGAAATAAGTAAGAGGAAGTACAATAACTGCTCAGATGAAAAATCCAGGGGAGTACATTGACTCTCATTGCAACAGTTTTTTGGCCAAAAAAAAACTTGTGTTGAAGGCACCAATTACTGAGCATGATTCTCTGAGCCAGATTTTGCCCCGAAGAGCACCAGTGCCAAATTAGAAGTAAGTGGCTTCCAAGGACACAAATGCCAGTCTGATATGGGAATTTGCACTTTCAATATGCAGCTCAGGTCCAAACATCAGTTTCAGAAACCCCCATGAAAACTGCATTTAACTTTTTATTTTTAATTCATTCATGAGATTTGAGCATCATCAGCAACATGACCATTTACAGTCTGTCCCTAAATTCCCTTGAGAAGGTGATGGGGGGTACCACTTTGAACCACTGCTGTCTATGTGGTGTAACTACATACACAGTGATGTGAGGGAGGGAGTTTTCAAGATTTTGACCCATTGACTGTGTGGGAATGACAATACAGTTCAAAGTCACAATAGTCTGTTGATTGATTAACCATGGTTGGTTTATTCCCTTCCAAGAATCCTTCTTCCTCACTAGGATATATCTTTGTTGCAAACACAGATTATGTTCTCAAAATCTTTCATTGTTCATTAACCATCTTTTATGCTGAACTACTTTTCCAGTTCACCCCAGTAAACTTTGCACTCATTTCCTTGTAATTAGTGTTATTTAAGTTTTGCACAGTTGCTTCCAACCCGTTTATCACTCTCAAATTGAACACTAGATTCTACTATGCTATGGTCGCTGTCTCCTAGGGGATCTTTTGCTCTCAGATAATTTATTGAACCTGCCTCATTACACATCATAAGATCCAAAACAGCCTAACTCCTGGTTGGATACAAAACATATTGTTCTAGGAAGCTGTCCTGAGTACTATCGATGAATTCTTCCTCGTGATCAATTTGATTTGCCAAATTAATTTTCCAAATCTACTTGAAGATTAAATTCACCGTGATTAATATACTTCCTTTTATTACATTATTTCCTGATATATTCTCTGTCCAACACAAAGAGGTAGTGTTAGGGGTCATATACACTACTTCCACCAGTGTGTTCTAACCCTTGTTAATTATTCTATGCACATGGATTTGATATCTTCCAATTGTCATGATTCACTGGGGTAGCATGCTGAAAATCAAGCCCCTTTATTCCTGGGGTTGTCACAAAAGTTAAAGATCTTAAGACAAGCACATAAAATTCTCACTTTCCCTGATTTTCAAACCTAGATTGACAGAAAGTATGGACCAGATTCCTTACTTAACAAGAATTACTACTTATTACAAGTAATTGGACTAGAGCTGCAGATAGAGTTATATGCCGTTGATCTATAATGTTACAAATTAACCTTTTAATCTCCTTATAAACCAGCATTACACAGGGAAAAATATGTTATGGGCAAAGGAAAACTAGGAGGCAATTTGTTGTTTCCTGTTCATGGGTTGTTTATGGTAATATGATCAGTATGCTGGTCAATGTGTTGCTTTTCCATCATCTTTCTGCAGATACTTCCATTGGTTTGTGAGAGACATAAGCGTTTAGTTTGCTTATAAGATGTCTCTGGCTTATCAGTTAAAAATCACAGGTTACAACGACTGCTGAAGGAAAGATGGATTGGTTTTCTTCAGGATTAGAATGGGTTTTGACTGCAGAGAACAGTGAAACAGCTTCTGTGCTCGTGGAGATCAAAGCACTTCTCTTTGCATCTTGTTCGCATTCCCAAGCTGTTTAGTTACCTGAGAGCCAATGACATAATTGTTGGCAGGCAAAAGACTTTTGATATCAATAACTGATCATGAGACAATAGACCAATCAACTTCTTCTTGCCACCTAGCTCCTTGGTTCAACCACTTCAGTTACTGCTAGATCAAAAAGTTGTTTACAGAATGCTTGTCACAACTGTCAGGTTACATGCTTTTCAAAATATGCAGCAATCCTTTAAAAAACTGTTTATTGAAACTTTAGCTATGATTATCTAAATTGCCCTGCAATGCCACCATATCCTTTTGCTTTGTGAGCCTATGCATCCCTTCTCCAGAATACTGTATCTTCCTCCCCACACCAGTTAGTTTAAAACACTCTCAATAGTTCTAATAATTCAATTCGCCAGGATGCTGGCCCCAGTATAGTAATCCTAAGGTCTCAACCTTGGACGTTCCATTTTACAATTTATCTCCAAACAGTACAAATTCTTTCAGCAGAACTTCCTTTCTACTCCTATCAATCTTGGTGCCAACATGGACAATAACAACTGGATCCCCAGGCTGTCAACACAGCCTTTGGGACCCATTCTCATATCTGGATAAAACAGTATTGATCCCCTTAATTATAATGGCCCCTGCTACTGATACATTTCTATTTTCTCCTCTACTTGAATGGCTCCCTGGACCACGGTGCCATGGTCAGCGTGTTCACTATTCCTGTATCACCACTCTCATCCATACTGGAAGCAACGCACATGTAACTCAGAAAATTGCAGGGGCCAAGCTTCATCTAACATTGCCTCCTGAGCCCCCACACATGCTTCACTATTACATGTCATTAGATTCTAGCTTCAGATAAATAGTTAAACTAAACTAGTAAACTCAACAAATTAAAACTCTAAAACCCTTAAAAATTCTCCCTTGATAACAAACACACAGAAATAAATAGAGAAAGAAAAAACACATGGGCAGAGGGAAAACTGGGAAAACATCCATATACTTTGTTCATAGGATTTGTTAGGTTGGTTCTTGCTGATCCAAATGCTTCTCCTCAACCTTTCTTTTCTGAATGCTTCCACTGGTTTGTAAGATGTTCAAAGGTGGCTATTTAAATTACAAATAGTCTCTGACTTTCCAATTTAAAGCCACAACCTGCTGCATTTGCTGAAGGAAAGACAAACTGGATTTCTTCAGGTTCAAAATAGTTTATTGCAGAGAACTGAGAAAGAGTCTTTTTTGGCTGCAGAATAAGTGGCTTTGGGTCAAATATGATCACTTTGCAGACAGGCTGCAGACTTAGTGTCTCTATAACATCTCTATAACATGCTCACAGCCCAAGCTATTCACATAAATGACAATCTTATTATTGGTAGGTATTGATAATTCAGTAGAGACAAAAAAAACTGCAGATGCTGGAATCCAAGGTAGACAAACAGGAGGCTGCAAGAACACAGCAAGCCAGGTAGCATCTGGAGGAAAGGATCAGTCAACGTTTCGGGTATTACCCTTCTTCAGGACTAATTCATCCCTAGTCCACAAACCAATCAGTTTCACTTCTAAACAACCCCTTGGCTTCATTTTGTCTACACGTTGCCAGAACCCACAGCTACATACAAAGGGTTCAGAAAAGGCACCAAGTTCCTTATTTTTTAAACATGTAGTCATCCCTGTAAATCCTTGGGTTTCAAAACTGTTCAGTCTACGGTTTTAAAAAGCTCAAAAATAAAAAGACACGGTGTTAACAATACTCATTCAGCCACTGTCTTACTTAGATGGAAGCTCCTTTGCGCTGACTGTGCTTTTTACTGATTGTGTGGTTTTCAGCCCTTTAGTTTCTACTAGCAACAATGTTGCTAATTGAATTCCGCAGTTACATTCATCCACAGAAATATATATATATATATATATATATTTCTACCCTTTTATATCTCAACACTTCACCAACATGCACTTACCAAATTTCGGGAATCACTTGTAGAACAGGTTTAATATTTTGTTACACCTTAATAAAGAATGATTTCAGCTTCAAGAAGTCATGGAGTGTTTTGTTTGGACTATTCTTTTTGATATTAAAATAATCCCATCAAGGAACTACATGTTGAAAAATTTAGCACCTCTTCAAAACATAACTAAGCATCTTGTGTATTTGTAGCACAAGTAGTAAGTTTTGCACAGCATGTTTTAGAAAGATTAATCACAATTGCACAATTTTATAACGTTCACAAAACCCATTTTGATAGGTGTCTTCTGGTCAACCTTACAAAATGGAATAGTAAGCCAACAAAAACAAAGGAAATCTAAAACACTAACCTGTACTTGTTGGTGAATTAATTTCTTGCCGAATATTGCGACTTATCTGGCTTCCAGATCTTGCAATTTCACGTTGTGGTTCCAGTATGTCTCTGTACTTTGATACCATGAGTACAGAGATAAAGTATACAACAGCCAATGCCAAAAACTGTGCCTGTTTACTGTCATCCTATGAAGAAAAACCGGCAGTCAATCACACTAAAACTGGAAAGAGTTTATAGGAGAATGTAGAGAGGTGGACGACATTACAACCTTGAAGTGATTCATTCAAATGGAATGGTTTTACAGAAGTTAAGCATGATGGCAAATTCAAGACTCAAGAGTAGGGAAATTGAGAAGGGGAAAGTCACCAAAAACAATGTTTAGTATAACAATGATGGGGAGAAATTGAAAATGTAAATCGAACCCCACAGTAATTGTAGTGACCTCACAGCCACTGGCTGAGATTGGGAATTATGTCATGTGAGGGGATCTGACATTTTTAAATCAAGGTGAAGATAAAAAAAGGAGGAATTAACTAAACCACTTTATACACCAAATTATACATTACCAGAGGAGTGAAAAGGAGAGATCTTCATGACAACAGATGGTATCATGGCAGATAATGATAAAGGTTGAAATACAGTTAAGTGTATTGTATAGGCCTTCTGATTGTTTTGCATTAACATGATTATGCAGTATTAGATAAAATCAAGAATCTAGTTATGATTAAGGATTTTAACCTATTTAAGGATTGGCAAAGAAATATCAGAATAATAACATAAGGAAAGATTTAATGATGCATTTGGGGTAGTTTCACAAAGCAGGACATCTTAAAACCAACAAAGTAAAGGGTTATAATTGCTCTTATCGTGTAACGATTCATCTGTTTGATAAGACTGCATCTTTGAATAGTCACCATAATATGCACAATTTCAACACCTGAATTAGGGAGCAGCTAATAAAAATTCATATTTCAACAATACTAACTGGAAAGAAAACAAACAAATATAAATCTGCAGGCGAACGATACAGGCTCAAGATACATCATTACTGTTGAAAAGCAAGAGGGATACTTCCACCATAATGTAATCATGGTCTACTAGTCTTATTATTTGTATTAAATGAATAAAAAGGTTTTTTTAAGGGCAAAGAACAATAGCAAAATAAAAATTTAGGAGATTGCAAAAGTAACAACAGGAAGCAGAAATAGAAAGGGCAAAGAATTGCTATAGAACAAGTTCAAAATAATATTAAAAGTAATGGAAAAGTCTTTAATAAGTACATCAAGAAATGAGAATGACAAATGAGTAAGAGCCCATTAAGAGCAGATTTATGCATGGCAATAGTAGACATTAGGAAAATAAGAGCATTATGGAATGGTTTATGTTGAATCAGAGATAGTAGGAACTGCAGATGCTGGAGAATCCGAGACAACAGGGTGCAGGGCTGGATGAACACAGCAGGCCAAGCAGCATCATAGGAGCAGGAAGGCTGACGTTTCGGGCCTAGACCCTTCATCAGAAAAAAATGGAATGGTTTATTTAATATTCTGCCTCAATCTTCACAATAAATGAGGATGGTGGATGATATTAAGGCAATGGGAAGATGAAAAGTTGGTGAAACTGCAATGATTATAAACTGAAAATTGTAAGGGGTAAAATAGTTACACCGAAACCAGACAAAAACTTGGACTCTCACTGAAAGAAACAGAAGAAGAAATTGTGGTGCCAGAGGATTGGTATTCAGGAAATAAAGAAGTGACAAACAAAATCTTGTCAATTGAGATGTGATGGTAAATGACTGATCTGATCAATATTTTGAAAATAATAAAATGAATGAACCAAGTGGATAATAAATGGCTTCATTCCTAACAGAAGATAAAACAAGGAAGTTTTCTTCAAAATTAAACTAAATGAAATCACGCAAAACCTCTTCATGTCCCAGGCACTACTGTCAAAAGAAATACATACCAAGCCAAAAGTAGAAGTGACTGAAAGCTCGAATGTTAGCTTTTAAAATATTCATTAAAGAGGAAGCGGTAGAAGAGCCAGAGAGTTTTAGAGATACAATTCTAGAGTGCACAGTGTAGACAGCTGAATGCTGGCAATTGTGAGGCAAGGGGAATGTGCTCAAGAGCGCAGGAGGTCATTGCATGCACAAGAAAGGAGATTACCATGAATGCAATTTAAACATAAGCATATAAATTTATATTTCATTTGACAACCAAAGCAAGCCTTCAAGCACTGGGGTCATGAGTGACTAGGACAAGACTTGTGACAGAATAAAATCACTGTTAATGATTAAATAAGCAAACATTTTTAACAGGCTAAAGAATACAAGGCCAGCTCTGAACAAGTCAAATTTAAAGGTAATTAAGGCATGGACAGGATTCTAAAAAAGATATACTGAGGTAAGGTTAGAGGTTGTTTATAGTGCAGAGGTGGAAGTAGCTGCTCTTTTGTAATGATGTCGAGTCAAAAGGTTATTTTCAAGAGGTTGGGGGCAAAGGGAGGATTGGTCATGGTAGTGGTCACAAATGGCCTAGTGGCATTGTTGCTGGACTGTTAATCTAGAGACACGGGTAATGTTCTGGGGACCTCCGTTTGAATCCAGCAATGGCAGTTAGTGGAATTTGAATTCCATAAATATCTGGAATCTAATGATAACTAGTCGATTAAATCCATTGTTGATTGTCAGAAAAACCAATCTTGTTCACTAATGTCTTTTAGGGAAAGAAACTGCCATCCTTACCTGGTCTGGCCTACATATGATTCCAGAATCTCAGCAATGTGGTTGACTTTTAACTACCTCCTGGGCAATTAGGGATGGGCAATAAATGCTGGCCTAGCCAGTGACACCCTCATCCCGTGAATGAATAAGCAAGAAAAGGACTGGGATTGGGGTTGCAGCCTTTTGTGGTACAACCTGAAAAGCTAGCTGCAATATGTAAGGGAATCTGCAACAAGTGTACTGAAATGTTTGAGTCTTCCTAAGGTTTAGTAGAATAGGGTCAAAGTTACACAACAATAAAAACATTTTAAGAAACTGAGGTATTGCTAATCACAATACTCAGGTTTCTTCAATTGAACCAAGGCAAGACTTAAAAAGAAGATATCAATCAGAAACACTGTTGCTTCATTTTCTGGGCTTCCTTCTTTTCTGTTGAAACAGTGTTTTCACTATTAGAAATCACACTTTTCCGATTTAAGACAATATTTTCCCTAATACCAGCATTTCACACTGAAATGTAGGTGAATCATTGCCAAAAATAAATAAATGTAACAGATTATTTCATTTTCATTTCTTTTAAGATTCGAACATGTCGGCAATTTCTCATTTGAAAATCAAAAATTGCAGGACCTGTAGAATTCTGGGTGGAAACAACTTCATACCTAGATTTTACAGTACAGGTACCTGCAAACCCAATGACCACAAGCATAATTTAAACAGGGTGAATAATTACCACATCACGAAAGACAACAGCTCGCAAACGATTAATGTCCACATCTTGCAGTAATCTGTCAGGATCTTTAATTGGAGAAAGGTTGCCAGCGATACTTTCAACACCAGTCTGAAAATGTAAACAATTTATTAAAGTGCTGTTGTTTCAAAATATTTTCTTCTGTTTAAAGGTAACACAAATAGTGTATACTTGCAAAAAAGACTACTGAAATAGGTTAAATTAGGGTTAACATGTTGTAGTCCCATTTCCAACATGGTGCTCCACAGGGAAAAAAATAAAGAACAGCAGACGCTGGAAATCTGAAACAAAAACAGAAATTGCTGGAGAAATTCAGCAGGTCTGGGAGCATCTGTGGAGAGAAAGTTGAGATAATGTTGTGGGTCCAGTGAAGCTTCTGCTTCACTGAAATTTTATTCCAAAATTTTCCTTAGAATCTAACCTCCCTGCATTTGAAGAATACACACTAAACAAATAGGCAAATTACAGTAGTGTTGAGAAGAACAAAACAGTTATTTCCTCAACCATTGAACACACTGGGTCAAGTTTTCCAGCCTCCAGAACATCAGAGACCAGAAACCTGAAGCTGCATCAAGTTGGGGATTTGAGCGCAGTGTCAATTGATCATCTTTACCACTGTTCGAAAAGTCAACATGATATGTGATATCAGTTTGCCAAATATTAATCAAGCTAATATACAAAATTGGAAGAAGGGAAAAAAATTAAAGTACTCTGAAATTAGAATATTTGTGTATTTATCAATATAATTTCCTGAAATGGTACAATTTGTAAACCATACAAAAGTCTCTTGATTTTGTATCAGAAGTTTGAAGTCAATTTATGAGGCTGAAAGAAGAAAGGGTATACACAAGATCTGTCTTATGTTGTGTTACCTTGCCTGCACCAGATCCTGTTAAACTCTGAAGACTCTCTTGGGGCTTAGTACTGGTTAGTGAAATCTTTGTTGTCCTATCCCTTTGTCTCTGGCGGCATTCCAAGCAATTTCTCACAGCAACACAACAAACTGAAAGAGCATGGGTAGACAAGGTTATGAGTGCAATAATTTCTCATCACAAATTTACACCTTTAAATAATCACTTTTAACAGATATAAAATAAAACCTCAAAAGTAACAGATTTCATGCATCAAGTACATTTATACGATTAGCACTTCAAAATTCAAAGAAAACTGGTTCTAAAATCTCAAATTAAAATCAACCATTATTCTATGGACTTTTTTGCTAAAATCATGACAAACAAGGTGCCCACATAGTGAAAGAAGTCTAATACACAAAATACAAGATCAATAAACTAGCATTAAATGAAATATTTCCATATTCTGTCAGAAGAAACATTTTCAGTTATCACTACATATGGATGGATTCATTCAGTAGTGTAAACTGTTTTCAATGAGCAAGATGTCAGAATTCTCCTACAACAAAAGATCCAAATGACTGGGGAGAATGAGGAGTTGACAGAAATTAGAAATGCTAAGAAGTAGTCTCAGTGCAACTGTACAAGGTGCTGGTGAGACCACATCTGGAGTACTGTGAGAAGTTTGGGTCCCTTTATTTAAGAAAAGATATCATTTCATTGGAGGCAGTTCACGCAAAGTTCACTAGATGATCTGTGGTATAGAGGGATTATCGTGTGCAAAGGCAAAACAGGTTGGGCCTCCAGTCGCTAGAGTTTGGAAGAATGTGAGGTGATCTCATTAAAAATACATCAGATTCTTAAGGGATTGACAGGATAAATGCTGACAGGATGTATTCCCTCATGGGAGCGTCTCAAAGTAAAGGGGCACCAATTTAAGGTAAGATAAGGAGGAATTTCTTCTCTCAGAGAGTTGAGTGTCCTTGGAACTTGTGTATATTTAAGGCTGAGATAGATAGCTTCTTGACCAATAGGGAAAGGGCAGGAAAGTGGACGTGAGTCATGATCCTTCTGAATGGCAGATCAGGCTTGAGGGGCCAAATGGCCTCTTCCTGCTCCTATTTCTTATGGTCTTATGGAGTCTATGCACTCTAGTTTTGGTGCCTTTTATTCTTCCTACCATTGTGCATCACCTCACACTTTCCTAAATTAAACTGCATCTACCATGTTTTTACTCACTGACTCAACACTCTAAATCCCCTGGCAGATTCCTTAGGTCCTCATCACAACATATACTCCAGCTATTTTTGAACCTTCATTAAAATTGGATACAAGACACTCTATTCCATCCTCCACATTACTAACATAAATGGTAAATAATCAATGCCCGAGGACTGATCCCTTTTAACACTCCACTAGTTACATCCTTCTAACCTGAAAAAGGCATTAATCCTGAATCTCAGAGATAGTAAGAGCCGCAGATGCTGGAGAATCTGAGATAACAAGGTGTAGAGCTGGATGAACACAGCAGGCCAAGCAGCATCAGAGGAGCCCGAAAGCTGACGTTTCGGGCCTAGACCCTTCTTCAGAAATGGGGGAGGGGAAGGGGGTTCTGAAATAAATAGGGAGAGAAGGGGAGGCGGATAGAAGATGGCTAGAGGACAAGATAGGTGGAGAGGAGACAGACAGGTCAAAGAGGCAGGGATGGAGCCAGTAAAGGTGAGTGTAGGTGGGGAGTTAGGGAGGGGACAGGTCAAGGGGACAGGATGAGGCTAGTAGGTAGGAGATGGGGGTGCGGCTTGAGGTGGGAGGAGGGGATAGCTGGGAGGAAGGACAGGTTAGGGAGGCAGGGACGAGCTGGGCTGGTTTTGGGATGCGGTAGGGGGAGGAGAGATTTTGAAGCTTGTGAAGTCCACATTGATACCATTGGGCTGCAGGGTTCCCAAGCAGAATATGAGGTGCTGTTCCTGCAAACTTCGGGTGGCATCGTTATGGCACTACAGAGGACTCAAGATGGACGTGTCGTCTGAGGAATGGGAGGGGGAGTTGAAATGGTTTGCGACTGGGAGGTGCAGTTGTTTAGTGCGAACCAAGCGTAGGTGTTCCGCAAAGCGGTCCCCAAGGCTCTGCTTGGTTTCCCCGATGTAGAGGAGGCCACAACGGCAACAGCGGATACAGTATACCACATTAGCAGACGTGCAGGTGAACATTTGTTTGATGTGGAAAGTCTTCTTGGGGCCTGGGATGGGGTTGAGGGGGGAGGTGTAGGGGCAGGTGTAGCACTTCCTGCGGTTGCAGGGAAAATTGCCGGGTGTGGTGGGGCTTGAGGGGAGTGTGGAGCGGACAAGGGTGTCCCGGACAGAGTGGTCCCTCCGGAAAGCAGATAAGGGTGGGGAGGGAAAAATGTCTTTGGTGGTGGGGTCGGATTGCAGATGGCGTAAGTGTCGGAGGATGATGCGTTGGAACCGGAGGTTGGTGAGATGGTACGTGAGGATGAGGGGGATTCTGTTTTGTTTGTTATTGCGGGGAGTGGTTGTGAGGGATGAGTTGCGAGAAATGCGGGAGACATGGTCGAGGCGTTCTCGACCACTGAGGGGGGGGGGAGTTGCGGTCCTTGAAAAACGAGGACATCTGAGATGTACGGGAGTGGAATGCCGCATCTGGGAGCAGATGCGGCAGAGGTGAAGAAATTGGGAATAGGGGATGGCATTTTTGCAGGAAGGGGGGTGGGAGGACTCCCCGCAATAACAAACAAAACAGAATCCCCCTCGTCCTCACGTACCACCCCACCAACCTCCAGATCCAACGCATCATCCTCTGACACTTACGCCATCTGCAATCCGACCCCACCACCAAAGACATTTTTCCCTCCTCACCCCTATCTGCTTTCCGGAGGGACCACTCACTCTGGGACTTCCTTGTCTGCTCCACATTCCCCTCCAGCCCCACCACACCTGGCACTTTTCCCTGCAACCGCAGGAAGTGCTACACCTGCCCCTACACCTCCCCCCTCACCCCCATCCCAGGCCCCAAGAAGACTTTCCACATCAAGCAGATGTTCACCTGCACATCTACTAATGTGGTATACTGTATCCGCTGTTCCCATTGTGGTCTCCTCTACATCGGGGAAACCAAGCGGAGGCTTGGGGACCGCTTTGCGGAACACCTACACTCGGTTTGCACTAAACAACTGCACCTCCCAGTCGCGAACCATTTCAACTCCCCTTGTCATTCCTCAGATGACACGTCCATCCTGGGCCTCCTGCAGTGCCACAACGATGCCACCCGACGGTTGCAGGAACAGCACCTCATATTCCGCTTGGGAACCCTGCAGCCCAATGATATCAATGTGGACTTCACAAACTTCAAAATCTCCCCTTCCCCTACGGCATCCCAAAACCAGCCCAGCTTGTCCCTGCCTCCCTAACCTGTCCTTCCTCCTACCTATCCCCTCCTCCCACCTCAAGCCTCAGCCCCATCTCCTACCTACTAGCCTCATCCCGCCCCCTTGACCTGTCCGTCCTCCCTGGACTGACCTACCTCCTCCCTAACTCCCCACCTACACTCACCTCTACTGGCTCCATCCCCGCCTCTTTGACCTGTCTGTCTCCTCTCCACCTATCTTCTCCTCTATCCATCTTCTATCTGCCTCCCCTCCTCTCCCTATTTATTTCAGAACCCCCTTCCCCTCCCCCATTCTGAAGAAGGGTCTAGGCCCGAAACGTCAGCTTTCCTGCTCCTCTGATGCTGCTTGGCCTGTTGTGTTCATCCAGCTCTACACCTTGTTATCTCTTAATCCTGAATCTCTATCTTCTACGTGTTCACCGATCTTCAATCCATTCTAACATATTACCCTCAACACTGTGAGATCCTATCTTGTGGAATAATCTTTTATCTGGGACCTTATCAAATGTCTTCTAGAAATCAAAATATGCTACATCTTACTGAAGTATTGAAATGCTACTGCATCCTTCTGTTATGAAAATGTTTAAATTCCTATTTCATATGTTGTTGGAGTGTGTACCTAGGTTTGAGAAACTGGTAAATGAAGTTTAGAGTAAGTGCAATTCAGAAGAGGATCCAGATTTACCTACAGGGGCTAGATTTAGAAGTTTGAAATCAGGAAGACAAGGTCATGATGCAGGATGTCACCAAACCACACAACTTTTCAAGATGACAATGTGATCCTAAGATCATGTATCCAGACTCCAAAATCATCAGCTTGCTGCTGAAATCAATGCACACACATAACAAAAAACTGCAGCTTTCATATCCACCTGAGTAAGAGAGTGCAGAACAACAGCAACCTGACTGACAAAGTCAAACTTTGAGTCGACTAAGCTTGTGACCTCAGTGTGCTCCTCTCCAGTGGTAAGGGCTGCACAACATATACATGCTGAACAGTTAACCCCTTCCCTATCTCAGGTATACCCTCAGCATCTCTTGTGCGGACAAGGCCAACAACTCAGAGTTCCTGGAACATTCCAACATCCATGCTATGCCAATGATGTCTGTGCTGGTTGGACCACATTCATCAGTTGGATGGAGTCAAAGACATTCTGTGCAATTAATTGGCCACCGGATCACAACGTTTTCTCTACCTTCACTACAAGAACTCCTGTAAGTGAGATACTGTTTTGATCTCACTTTTAGCTGAGACCCCAATTTGTTAGGATCCGGACAAGCCTTCATTGGTCACAGCATTGAGTATAGGAGTTGGGACATCGTGTTGCAGCTGTACAGGACATTGGTGAGGCCACTTTTGGAGTACTGCGTGCAGTTCTGGTTGCTCTGCTATAGGAAGAATGTTGTTAAAATTGAAAGGATGTAGACGAGATTCACAAGGATGTTACTGGAATTGGAGTGTTTAAGTTTTAAGGAGAGGCTGGATAGGCTGGTACTTCTTTCCCTGGAGCGTTGGAGATTGAGGGATGACTTTTCAGAGGTTTACAAATTTATGAGGGGCATAGATAAGGTGAACAGTAATGGTCTTTTCCCTAGAGTAGGAAAATTCAAAACTAGAGCGCACAGTTTTAAGGTGAGAGGGGAAAGATTTAAAAGGATCTGAGGGGTGACGTTTTCAAGCAGAGGGTGGTGCATATGTGGATTGAACTGCCAAAGGAAGTAGTAGATGCAAGTACAGATACAACATTTAAAAGACATTTTAAAAAGTACATGAAGAGGGAAGGTTTAAGGGGATATGGGCCAAATGCTGGCAAATGGGAAACCTGATTGGCATGGACAGGTTCATGAATAGGAAAGGTTTAGAGGGATATGAGCAATTGCAGGCAAATGGGAAACTGACTGACATGGACGAGTTTCCGTGCTGTATGACTCTATTATGATGATGAATAGGTAATCCTGTTATGCTTTTGAAATGGAGACAGTTAAGTCTAGGAGGAATGGAAAATGACTCCTTTGAATCTGTACCTGGAACATTCCCAGTCTGTCACATTTCCATGAGACAGATTGCAGGGAGGTTACATTTTGTTTTGGGTTAAAAGCAAGTACTGTGGATATTGAAGATCTGTATTAAAAGTAAAGTGCTGGAAAAAGTCTGCAGGGCTGACAGCAAAAGCAGGTTTCAAAGAAGAAATAACAGTGTGGAGCTGGAGGAGCACAGCAGGCCAAGCAGCATCAGAGGAGCAGGAAAGCTGACATTTTGGGTCGGCACCCTTCTTCAGAAATTTCTGAAGAAGGGTCCCAACCCGAAACGTTAGCTTTCCTGCTTCTCTGATGCTGCCTGGCCTGCTGTGTTCCTCCAACTCCACACTGTGTTATCTCTGACTCCAGCATTGGCAGTTCTTACAATTTCTGAGGTTTCAAAGAAGAGTCATTTTGGAGTCAAAGCATTAATACTGCGTCTCCTCCAGAGATGCTGACAGGGCTGTTGAGTTTCTCCAGTATTTGCTGCTTTTATTTTTGTTTTGAGTTTACGTGCATAGTTTTCCCACAGACATAGATGGTTTATACCTTGAGCTGTAAAAGCTTGGAAACAAAGAAAGCTGCCACTTTAAACTGCCAAGGAAGAAGATAGTGAAGTCCATGCTTGAGCTAGGTGTCAACGATCATGAGGTGCTTAAAGACAATTGGAAACTCACTTTGCTGCTTGCAGCTGGGAGGACTCCAAGAAATTCCATAGCTTGGGAATAGCAAGAAGACTGAAGAGAATTAAACTGAGCTCCTGAGAACTGTGACACAACTTGATTTGACCCTGGAAGGCTAAAATGTATAGGGAACTCTTGATTGGAATTTAAACAGAACAGGAAGTTGTCCACTGAATTTTTCAGAATTAAAATCTGTGTTAATAAAACATATAGTTAGTAGAATTTGATTTGTTTAATCTTGTCTAGGATCTATCTTTGTTTTAAAATGTGAAATCTTTTAATCTAATTCTTTAAGTTAATAGCTGAGAACCAAATTTCTACCTAAAATTATAGTCTGCCTTAAGACCATAAAACTGTGCATAATGCTAATGGTATACTCTTGTTCAAAAGGGGTACAAGGATAAATCCAGCAACTACAGCTCCATTAATTTAACTTGAGTGCTGGAAAACCTTCTAGAAGTCACAACCCAGGAGAAAATAAACTGTGATGTGGATCCATAACACTGAAGGCGGCGTAATGTGTGAAAAGTGTATCACAAGTCCTGAAATTTATATACACCATATATATTATTTATTTTGGATTTTAGTTTTGAACTGGTGGGATTTGGATTTTCAGTGAGACTAAAGGGGTTTAATGATTAACTGATAAGTAATTTTGTAGCCTGATGATTTATTTTAAGATACAGCAATAGGGAGAGACATTCTGAAGAGTAATGCATTGTTTACATTTGGAGCATTTATTAGTGAAAGTAATGTGTAGTACATTAGGCTTGCAGATAGAGGATTCTGGAATTTTTGAGAGAGGGACTTAGGGAAACAATAACTTCAAAGAGAGCTTCTGGATTTCAATTGGGCAGTTTTTCAGAAGACTTGGCTGATGTTAAATGTATAAAATATTTGCTCCTGAAAAATGGAGGTAGTTTTGGACTGTTTAAAATAGGTTATATAAGTGTAAGAAGCTTAGTTTAAAAGTTCCAGGGTATGAAGGCTCCAGGAAGATGCTATCAGATTTCCAAGATGGAAAATTAAGCTGTGTCGATGTGAAATAAAAGGGAATCGCTTTGGTATGAATACTGTAAATGAATGTTTTTGGGATTAATGAGATTGCATTTTATCCTTTGCCTTGAAATCTTTAAATATGTGTTATATGCAAATATATCAATCATTCTATTTTATCTTCATTTATTTTCCATAATAAACTTTTTTATTGTTAAAACCAAATCTGCACACAATGTGGTTGTGTTCAGATAAAAGACCACAATGATAGTACAAAAAGAACTTAGCAAGCCAATAACATCAACTGTGATCATAACATAAGTAACAAAAAAAACTGTTTATTTCTATAGTTTAAAGCATAATCATAGAATCATGCAGCACAGAACAAGCTCCTCAGCCCATCAAATCTATACCGCCAAAAGTTGCCTCCAAAAGAATACAGTGTTGAATGAGTTTTATTTTTTCATTCAATACAATAAGATATTTTAAACCGTGAAAATTTGACATGTCATATTTTGGCTGTTAATGAAGTTCAAATTTCTCTTTTAAAGCTTTTGGACACAATGGAGATCGTAACAGAATGTTGTGCAACAGCAGAAATATTGAAAACTAGAGGGAACAGATTTGAAGTGATTGACAGAATAACCAAAAGCAACAGGGGCAAAAATATTGTTATTCAATAAGTAGTTACAGTTGGGAATGCACAGTCTGAAAGGGTGATGCAAGTAGACTCAATCATAGGGGAACTGAATAAGCACCACAAATTAAAAAGGCTGAATTGCATCACTACAGGAACTAGCTAAATTGCTCGTGAAAAGAGCTCGGGCTGGATGGGCCTCCTTTTGACCTGCAACATTTCTAACAAGTTAAAAATGTAAAATTTAAAGACTCACCAAGTCTCAGGCACTGCCGCATTAAGCCTCCAGATGACATGTTTTTTTCTGCTTCAATCTCACTGAAATTGAGTGAGCTCGAGAAAACTAAGACATCAACCATGGCCATCAGCCTGTTTAAGAACGTTACTGCTGTCTCTGTCGACATGCCTTGAGTTGCTTCTATGTTTTCCAGCTCCGTCTGTTTTTTTCAAAAAAAGACAAATCGCACTCGCAATGTGACTACTAACATTTTTCATAGAAAATCCTACACACTGTATTTTATGCACTGTTGAAAATTAATACCAAAAAATATTGTACCTGATAGCGTTGCAATTATCAGATTATTTACCAGAAAAAAACATTTTGGTGGTAGCATCTTACATGGCTCTAATACAATGAAAGTGAGGTTGAATTCTTCAATTATTTTACATTAGATATTATATATGCAGCATATATAATTTTTTTTAACTTACGAGTGACTTGCCCGGGCTGTGGAGTCTCCCACTATCCATTGGGGCTCTTGAGTCCGCTGTGTTGGTCTTTTGAAGACAGCAGCAGTTTTTACAACACGTTAGAGGAAAAGTGGGTATAACAGAGTTTGTAAGGAAAATTTGTATGTATACAGGAAGGGCCAGTGATACAAAAAATTACTTGAAAGTAGGATACTAGAAAATTATATATGCTGTATATGTTTGAATGCAATTGGATATTGTATTTCAGTAATTTAACAGCATTCTCTGGAAACTTCATCATAGGAGGAATCAAATTAATTCCAGGATGCCTTCTGAAAGCTCATTTGTTAAACACAATATTTTCTGAAAGAATGTTTAAGACATTCTAAGAATCAGAATAAAGTTATTCAAATTCACAGAATATACTCTCCTACTACTTTTCCCAAAAGAATCTCAATTACTAAGCATAAGATGACAAAGTTTAAGTGACAATCACTCAGGTTATCGAAGTGCAACAGAGTCAATTGGTTATTATCCTGCTTTATAAAAAGTTAACAGTTAATTGTTTTCTAATTTGAGGACAATGGAGTCCATTTAGTTTCCAAGTTGATAGCACCTTAGTAATATGAATTTTAACATGGTTTGTGTGTTAGCAATTACCATATAAGCTGGCCTTTGTAGCATTCTTTTGGCAATGCATAACTAAATTCCTTTCACAGCTCAGTTAAATGCTTCTCACATCTCTCATGATTCTCAGCTCCTAAATGATACTTATACATTAATCAATTTGAAAACTTACATTTTGCCAAAAGTATTTTCAGTTGCTATTTAGTATTTCAGTTACTTTTTGAAAGAAAGTTGCAGTAACAGTCATGCAAGTTCATGATATTGGTCATGAATAACATGTTTTACCAATCAATACCTTTTAATATATGAAATATTTGAACAAAGAGTGCAAATTTTGGAAGTATTAAATGCTTGTGGGAGGTGGATTTCCATGGAAGATCTCCCACTTGTCTGACGTAATTTCAGCAGGAAATACCTCTGAAATTTCAGTAAAATATTTATGCTGAGTTTCAGGGGTTTCCATGACTCATCTGCTGAAGTTATAGTGGACAAACAGGAAAACCCACCTTTGTCCTTAGGATTTCCTTTCACCCTACACGGTTTTTTTTTGAAGTCAATTTTCTGTTTCAGATACTGAAAAACAAGTCAGACTGCTCCACAATAAGCAAAATTTCCAACTTCCTAGTGTGGGTCTTAGGAAAGAGTTACACTTAATGCTTTTTGCAGAAACATTATTCAAAACTGAGATATTACCTATTCCCACATCAAGTGATTAGACAGAAGATGCTATACCTTTCAAACAATTTAACTGGAAGTAAGCTCAAAAAGTAGAAATACTAACCTTAGAACTCTGGACGTGCAATATGCAAAAGAGAAAACAAAAAGTAAAGGGGAAGAATTAATAAAGAAAAATAACATGAATTAAATCCTAAAATTACAATTTCTTACGTACTAAATTCATTCTTAAAATATTCAATTCAGCTTTAACAACAACAGAAATTATATTGACTATGGATCTAATATATTTGGACCTATCCTTTACCAACAATTATCCTAGGAACTTCAAATCAGGTGACAAGTATTAATCACTTTGATGGACAGATGGATGAATGGATGGATGAATGAATACTTTCATTGAATGAATAAATAATTTTATTGTCACGTGTATTTTACAGTGAGAAAAACAGCAAAATACTGTAAAAGCTTTTTCACTGTTGCCACAATCTGGCATCATTTTGAATAGGTTTTAAGAATAAGAATAAAAATAGAAAGGTACAACTTAGAGAGAATCCATCGGTCCTGAGCCACCTCATCATCAATGATGCCTCCACTGCCAGCCCTCTTCCACTGCCTCGTCGTCGACCACATGGACCAAACCAATATAGAAGTGGCCACCCTTCAGGGACCATCCTTCGCTCTGGGCCAATTCTCATCCACCACCATCTTGTCACCACTTGCACCAGACCAACCAACATCAGCGTCGCATCTCTCGTCACTGGGGCAACCTCGATGCCCTTCTGCCACTGCTTTGCTACTGCCGCTTGACCCAACCAACGATGAAGTCGCCAATCCTCAGGTGCCATCTTTCACCACTAGACCTACCTAGCCAACATCGCCTCTGCAATGTAGCAGCTGCCAATTCCAATGCCAGGTTCCGTGGTAACCCCGGAGAAGTAAGGGTTTTCTTGAGTCCACGCTGGGGCTTGCTGCCACCAATACCATTCAAGCTCAGGACAAGAGGTAAGTAAAAGGAGAAAGAAAAAGGAAGAAAAGAATAGACAAGCGATCGGAGCAGACGAGCCCCAGCTCAGAAGGGTGGGTGGTCTTCCAAAACTAAAAGTAATTAAGTTATTTCAAATGCAAAATATAATCAAAAATATGCTACATATTTTATTTGTTGAAAACTTTTCAGAGAATTCAATACTACCAACCACCACTGGAATGTCACAGAGATCAAAAATTAATGTACAAAACTAATCAAACAATCAGAACTTGCATAAAATAAATGTTCAGAAGATTTTAGGAAGATTTTACACTCCAATGAACCAGGGAGTGATAGATGTGTACACCAGCCAGGGACAGGAATTTTGATTAAGAGTAAAAACTTAGTAATTGGGTAGAATGGTGGTTTTGGAAATGTGCATGTCTTGAGTACTCAAAGCTTTAATAAAAGTCAGGAATGTGTGACAATTCAAATAAGACTTTCTACACTTACATTCTGCAGAATTTGCAATAAATGTAATTTCATCACTTGAAGCAAAAGCTTTCAACTTTCTTTCAAACCAAGGTTCTTAAAAATGTATCCGATTTTGTGGATTTATCATAGTTATGTTAATATTCCCTTTTCCCTGCTATGACTATATTCATTCAGAAAGATGTCCTCAATGAAAAAGCTTCCACTGCATAAAATTCTTTACCTGGGATAGGCGTCAGGATTGTCCTGTGCGTGGGTTCTTTCAAGTCCAAATGGTGTAACATGGATTGGGATGGCTAACTTTCTGGTCCACATAGAACAGTCTTGCTGAGTAAACAATCTAAAGTTTACTGCATTAATGCAACCATTTTTAGATTACTTGACTATGACTTGCATTACTAGACAGATTGTTAAGAGCACATTTGCCTCAAGTCTTACTACAACTAGATCATTATGTATTCTGGCATGGTCCTTGTGACATCATCACAATAAGTGGTGCAGACTGCACTTAATCAAGTCTAAGTCCTTTCAGATCCATAAATAAACCTCACCGCCAATCTTTTTATCCCTCATTGAGTCATTGTGATGCATTTGTTTATGCATACCACAAACAAATCTCCGTTGGTCATTGACTTTACAAACTCAGACTATCTCAAGGTTTCCTGTTCTGCTGAAAATTGTTCCTTTGGACTAGGAGAAGGTTGTCAACTTGGAATGGTTTCCTAATGGTCTAAAGTCTATACTGCTGTCTTGAATTGGAAGATCTTTGACTTCTTGTCTTTCTTTCATACAGGACAATAATTTTATAGGCATATTCTATATAGCTGTATGTACCGTCCCAACCACAGAAGGCAACATTTTTCTTTTCTTGGTTCCTTGCCTCCTTTAAGTGGTGTCTTCAGTGAAGATCAATGCACAAGAATTTCAACTTTTTGTCAGTGGAATTTATTTGTAGAGTCTTCCATTGCCTATCATCATACATCCTCTCAGTTGCTGCCTCTGCAAACACTATCACACTACTTCTCGAACTTTGCCATTGGAATCTGAACTCTCTGTTTGATAGCTTTGGAAAACATTTTAATGAAACCACTACAGTCACAGCTTTCCATCCCACACACAGTATAAAACAATTTCTTCCACAACACAATAGGGGCAGCACAATGGTTAGCACTGTTGCCTCTCAGCGCCAGGTACCCAGGTTTGGTTCCAGCCTTGGGTGACTGTGTGGGCTTTGCATGCTCTCCCATGCTTGCATGGATTTTCGCTGGGTACTCCGGTTTCCTCCCACCAGTCCAAAGATATGCAGATTAGGTGGTACTAAATTACCGCATAGTGTTCAGGGATATGGATTGGCCATAGTAAATGCGAGGTCACGGGGTCTGGGTAGGATGCTCAGGGAGGGTTGGTGCAGACTGGATGGGCCAAATGGTGTCCTTTTGCACTGTAGGGAATTTGTGATTCTAGTTTATATCCTAATGCTTAATTCATGCACAAATGTGTTAGGAAGCATGGTGCCTCAGTAGTTAGCAATACTACATCACAGTGCCAGGGACCCACGTTCGATTCCTGCGTTGGGTGACTGTGTGAAGTTTTCACATTCTCTCCATATCTGCGTGAGTTTCCTCCAGGTGCTCCGCTCTTCTCCCACAGTCCAAAGATGTACAGGTTAGGTGAAGTGGCCATGACAAATTGCTCACAGTGTCCAAGGATATGCAGGTTAGATAGATTAGCCATGATAAATGCAGGGTTACGGGGATAGGGTGGCAGGGTGCTGGGTCTGGTTGGATGCTTTTCAGAAGATTGGTGCAGAGTCGGTGGGCTGAGTGGCCTCTTTCCACACTGTAGGGATTCTGTGATTCTATATGACAACTAGCCACTCAGGAGATTGTGCTTTTTGTTTGTTTTGCTTTGATTTTATGGTGCCCAAATAAATTTTCCCTGACTTTTTGTTGATTAACTTCTTCCAAACTGTGCTTGAGATTCAGGACAATCTCCTCTATTTCGGTGACAACTTGGTTGTGAAGTACATGCAGTACTTTGTATTCCCTACATTGCAGAGTTACTTATATCATATCTTATGATGCGCCTGGACTACACAATTGAACTTCTGACTCTGTAAACAGGGTTTTATCAAGCAAGGCTCACTACTTAATAACATTGTGGCACTTGTTCACCTGTATAACTTGAAATTTGTAAGATGCCCGCTGACATAAATGTCTGCATGCTGAAGTGTTTGACCAGGGCAACTGATTTGCCAGAAGAAAACTTCGGTTTTATTCTACGCCAGTAACAGTTCTAGCTTTTTATTTGTCTAGGTATTTCTTTACACTTTCGCTTTATGTGGCTGTGTCCTGTTTGATTTCTGCACTTAACAAAAATTATTGTTTATTACAAATTATGGGAAGAAATTAAACTAGTTCAGCAGGGGGAAGGGAACATAGACAGTTAGTACACTAGGAGCGTGGCAGACTTTAACAAAGGAGCAAAGGCAGAGAGAGTTCAACCATATTGAGTTTCAAGGGTGTAAGGTGAGCTGGATGACACTTTAGTGTTAAAAGTGTTATAGATAAGGCAGATGGGTTAAGGGTATGGAATAACACGTGGAATTGCAATGTTGTTGCCATCACAGGACAAAGTTGAGAGAGGGGCAGGACTGGCATCTCAATATTCTATGGTACAGGATCATCAGGTAGGACAGGAGAGGATGTAAATGAAGTGATGGTGTTGCATTCTTAACTAAGAGGTCAATTATGCATTAAGGAGAGACGATATATTGGAAAGGTCTTCAAATGAGGCTTTATGGGTAGAGATTAAGAGTTAAAAAGAAGGGTCGGTCACACTGCTGGGAGTGTGTTATAAAACTCCAGTCAGCAGACAATGCAGGAGCAGATACGTAGACAATTCCCCAGGTGTGTAAAAACAATCATATGGAAATTAAAATTCTCCAATATTAAAGGGGATAGTTATAGTTTTATGTGTTTAGAGAGGGAAGATTTCTTGAAATGTATTCAGGAGAACTTTTTATATCAACATGTAGAAGGTCCAATGAGGGACAGTACAGTGCTAGACCTAATTCTGGGGAACAAAGCCAAACAGATGTTTGAGGTGGCAGTAGGACAACATTTTACTGACAGCCATCATAACACCAGGTGATTAAGTTTATTATGGAAAAGGAAAAAGGTGGCCTGTAAATATGGGTTTTGGACTGAGATGGCAGATTTTATTAAAGTAAGGCAGGACCTGGCCAAAATAGAGCTGAAACAGTTATTTCTGGGTAAATCTACAGCAGAACAGCGGGAAGTGTTCAAAATGGAATTGGTAAGAACACAGGCCCAACATGTTCCCTTTAGGATGAAATACATAAGCAACAAGCTAGAAAACTGGATGTCTAGGAATATTCAGGATTGGATAAGAAGGAAAATAGAGGTGTTTAACAGATACAAAGGGTGCAAATCATCTGAGGCTCTAGTGGAGTATAAAAAGTATAGGAGAGATCTAAGAAAGCAAAGCAAACTTAAGGAAGAGAGCAAAGAGGGGATATGCAAAAACTAAGGTTGTTAAGATTAGGCAGAATCCCAAGATATTCCATAAGTATATCAAGGGGGGGAGGAAACCAGGGAAAGAGTAGGGCACATTAGGTACCAAGAGGGAAATCT